GACAGCCCCGCGCAGGCCGCTGCCGGCCTCCGGGCCACCTCTGTGCAGATAAGAGCACGTCCTCCTCTGGGGGGGACACAGTCCCGCACAGGTCATGGTGTGGTGGGCAGGGAGAGTGCTGGGTTTTAGCTCTCCCCTGCTTCCCCCCACCCCACCTCCCTGCAAGCCTGTGTTTGTGCAGTGTATAACCTGTACAACTGTACACGGTGCACCTGGCCCCACACAACAGGGATGGCCACGCAGCTGCAGCCCTGTAGGAACAGGGCTTCATGTTGCTGCAGTTTCCGGTTTTTCAAGGGCAGCTGAATATAGGGATCATGTGAAAAATGATCGTTTTTAAATGTTGGCAACGAATTCACCCTGTGGGCCAAACAAAACCCATCTGTGCTGATGGCGCTAGGGAGGGCACCTCAGCCCACCCTCTTGGTGCCTGCGGGAGGGGCCTCTCCTGCCCGGACGGCGCCCGCCTCCCGCCCAGCGCCTACCGGCTTGGGGCAGTGGATGTAGCGCGCCAGGCTGATGATGAGGTCGTGAGTGATGGGGTCCACCAGGTTGCGGAAGCTGGCGTAGCGGTACAGGACGTCGTCCAGGGAGGTCGACTCCATGCCCAGGTCCTGCGAGAGCAAGGGTGCCCAGAGGTCAGGGTGGCCGCCCGCCCTCCCCGCCCGGCACCCCCAGGAGAAGCGGCGCAGGCCCTGGGTGCCCCTGCCGGTGGCTCGGCCCCCCAGAGCCCTGGCAGGGAAGCGCCTGCAGAACCTCCGCGGGCCTGGGCGAGCAGGCCTGTTCCTCCCCTCTGCAAGCTGAGGAAGGGAGGGGCTGCAGTGCGGCCCGTCTGTGCGCGCCCTCTCTCCCGCCGGCCTAGTCTCTCCGGCGCCCGGAGGGTGAAGCCAAGGCGCCTGCCACGGTGTCGGTGGCTGCTTCAGGGGCAAAATTTGGAGCCGGCATGCACAGCAAAACTCTGCCTGTGACAGGACGGTTTATCGATGTAAATTTGTGGTTTCTTCCTGCTTCTGAAGTTATATTGACTGCCCCATCTGTAGAGGACGTGACCCCAGCGTCCCCTTGCCTTGGGGGCTTTGCGTTGTGGGCTGCAGGGAGAAGCTGCCAAGCACCCAGAGCGCTCCCGCCAGGACCCCCTCGGGAAGGCAGTTAGGCGGGGTCCCCTGATGGGGGGCTGGCAGAAGCCGCTGGAGCAGAGGTCCCCGGGTCTGGGGAGGGACGCGGGTCTGGGGAGGGACGCGGGTCTGGGGCTTCAGGACACACTGCCCCAAATACGGCGTGTTGGCATCTGAGGAAACAGCAGAAGCAGGAGGATCTCTGGCCACCTTCAAAGGGGCCATCGAAGGATTCTCCGACCTTCCTCCAAGGAGGTCAGGGACCCCTTGAGCTGGAGGAGCCATCTCCTTTAGAGAAGTAAGAAGTTTGTCTGCCCGCGGCGGGGGTGTGGGGGGCTGGACTAAGCCCTGTGCCGCTCCACGTGCGGGAGTGTGGCCACAGCTCCTGGCCCTGTCAGGCTGCCTCCCCCAACTCCCGCCGTCTCTGGTGAGAGCTGTGGTCCCCTCTGTGGCAACCTGCACAGAGCAGGCAATGACGACATTCCCACCCGGAGAACGGGGTGCCCCGGCTGGGCGGGGAAGCAGGCCCACCCGCCGCGCACTCCGGAGCTCCCCGAGCCAGCGCAGCCCAGAGGAGGCCCGGGCCTGGGAGGCCCGGCGACCTTGGGATGGGGAGTGTGTGGGTGACCAGCTGAGTTCCAGCGGGGGTTTGCTCCTTGTTGTTTAGTTGGGATACTCCGATCTTTCCTAAACACCTTCCCCACGTGATTCCTAGACTCCCGGCAAGGTGGGCAGGCTGGGCCGAGGCCCACAGTGGCTGACAGCTCCAGCTGCCAGGATTTCAGGAAGGGTGGGGTGGGCCAGGCGCCGCCCGGGGCCCCTTCTGCAGGGTCCCGTCTGCTATTAGCTACCGCGGTGAGCAGGGCCGGAGGGGGGTGGAGGGCAGGGACTCTGCTCTGCCTTTTGGTGTCTGGATTTTCTATGAGCAAATTTAAGGGTCTTTGCTGGGTGGATCTGGAGGGACCCAGATGCCACGGCCTCTCTCCTGGGGACAGCCCCTCAGAGCCCGCGTGCCAGCCAGGTCCTACCTGCACGGTTAGGGGCACTCTGCTCCCTGCCGCTCCTTACAGTTTCATTCCCGCGTCAGTGAGGACACAAGGGGCTGGACTGGAGGGCTTTGTTTTTCACATGGCAGGAATGAAGCTTGCAGGCAAACTGCCAGCCCTGCCCAGGTTTTCTGGCTGCCGACATAATTCCAGGGACCTAGATCCGGGGCTCAAGGTCTGGCGTGGATGCAGTGGCAGGAAGCTTTTGCGCTGGCTGCCAAGGTCTAGACCCAGCCTCTGTAGCACCAAGTATAACACTGGCCTCGGACCTCCGGCCCTGCCCTGCGTGTTCCATTCCTCAGACAGTGCTGTGTCCAGAGGCAAGCGACCTAACATCAGTGGGCCTCAGTTTCCTCATCTGTAGAATGGGACAGTGACTCCAGCATCACAAGTATGTGAGAGAAACAACACCAAGTAATACATGTAAAGCCTCTGACAGGGAGGAGAGTCCCCAGCAGTGGCTCCGCTTCTCTGTCCCTTCTTTATTTCTGCCCTTCCTCCTGGAGAGACCTCTCCTCTCCTTATGCACAGACCCATTTGGGAATGTGTCGAAAGCCACCACCTCTCTTCCTAGAAAAACACAGGGCAGGGTAGGGACCTTGGCACACGCAGTCCATGCCGGCCTTGCAGCCAGGAGCGTGTGCAGGAGCTGCATGGACCGGCGGGGTCGCAGGACACAAAGCATCACCCAGGAACACGCAGAGTCACAGCTGCGCCTCCCGGGGCCGGAGGAGGCTGGGTAGGTGGGAAGGCTGAGAGTCAAGGGCTCCTATCTTTGGTCTCAGAAGGCCCGTGTGGCCAAAGAGGCTGTGGCCTGGCATCTGGCTCCCCAGCCAGACTCTGCTTACGGCTTGAGGCTCCTCTTCCTGGGGACAGGGAGGTGGGGGAGGAGGGCAGAAGAAGAGGGTAGAAACGGGGGCTTATTCCCAAGGTCAGAGGCTGGACTTGTGGCCACAGGGAGGAGGTCAGAGGCTTGGAATAGTTTTTCCTTTGCAGACTGTCTGCGAGCTGGGACACTCCTGTGTAGTTGTTGATGTGATGCCGGCCTCTGTCCCTCCTCCACTTTGCCCCTGTGTATCCCCGTCCGTGTGTGCCCTGGGCACCCAGCGGTCCTTCCCGTACGGCCATCCCTGCTGCCCGTGCCCAGATGCCCCTGGGAGAAAAAGCTGGCTTCTAGGCTGTGGCTGGAGCCCAGCTCACTGTGAGTCTGTGGCAGGAGACTTCCCACTTCCCTCTTGGGGTCTCTTTCCCCATCTGCGAAGGGCAGAGGAATGGCACTAGTAGTGAGCGAGCTGTATCCCGAGATCTTGGAGCAAGGGTGGGCAAGAGCAGGGCGAGAGGAGGCAGCAAGGCTGCCAGCCACGGCGCCTAGCACAGCAGCTCCAGACAGCTGCTCTGCAGACAGACAGACAGACAGACAGACAGACAGACAGGCAGTTCTGTGGCCAAAGAAAAACCTGAAGAGCCTGGACTAGATGACCGCTGAGGGTTCTCGTGCTCTTACCAGCCCCGCGTCGTCTTCCCAGACCCCCTCCCCAAGGCCAGTCGAGGCTGTCCTGTCCTAAGCAAACCATAGGTGCCAACTCAGAAGGCTGGGCAGGTCTGGGAAGACCTGAATGTCCTTCCCCAGAGCCACGCTGTGGCCATCACCTGCGCCCGCACCTGGGCGCGCAGCGGGCCGACAGCGGCCCCATCCCCCGCAGTGCTGCCCTCTGGGTTCGGCAGTCCTTGCTTAGGAGGGGCAGGACAGGGAGGGGGCGCAGGGGGCGGGGTCCCCCAGGAAGGCCACTGGGCCACTGTGAGTCATGGCTAATGCCCTCTCCGTGAACTCCAGCTGGGGTGGGGCTCCCCAAGGTCCCTGGGCCGCAGCGGGAAACCAGATGGAGCCTGGCCAGAGGCCGCTCACACTTTATTGCTTTATTTCTCTATTTCTACCCCGCCTAGACCCACAGAACGCTTGTGCAGTTCCAGGGCACTTTGGGTCCTGAGGACTTTGGCCACGTCTGGTCTCCTTGGTGTCCTCTCCATGCGTCCCCCACGCAGGTTTATTGGGTTGACTGTGTCCCCACCCACTGGGGGCTACTCACGGGGCTGGGTAGGGAGGGGAGCTCACCAGACCCTCAGGGGGCACAGAAGGCTGCAGCCTGGGCCATAGCGCCAGGAAGGGGCCATCTCTGCGTCTGCACGTGGCCGGCACGGACACCGGCCCTGGGGCCGCTGACACTCGCTCTGCACTGGCCCTCGGGACGAGATGGGGCACGTGAAGCCTGCTGCATGCGTGAGGGGCGTGACGAGCTGGATGCAGATGTGGTCCCTGCAGGCCCCCGGGCGCGGCGCTAGCCGTGGCGGGCTGGGGGCATCGAGGGGAAGCCCACCTTCCTCACCGCTGAGCCGCACCAGCTCTAGGAGCCATGCGCGTGGCAGTTCCTCAGCAGGAAGTCTGGGAACACCAGCAGGTGTGCCTGAGTCACGGCTGGTGGGGAGTGACGCTTAGGAAGTGTGGCTGGCCTGCCACTGAGTCACTCACTGCCTTGGGACTGAGCCGCCCCACCTGCGGCCCACGCTCCCCGCACGAGGCATCGCAAGGAAGTGGGCCCCGCACGGCCATGGCCTGAATATGCGGGTTTGGGGGCTCGTTGCAATGGGGCCAGAGATGGGGCCTGGGGCAGGGGTATGAGTTTCCAAAGGGTGAGTAGAGAGTCACACGGGCGGTGGGGTGGGGTCAGAAGAACATTTCTCAAAGTGCTGCCCAAAGACCTTGGGAGGAGCCATGGAAACCGTTTTAAGGGCACAGCGGGGTCCTCTTTCCCGGCGATCCAGCTGCGTGGTGCCAGATTTTCTTCAATCAAATAACCTGTCTCAAGACCTGAAAGCACGCCTCTGAGAACGCAGCTGCCTAATAGGAGGCCAGACATGAAAGATAGTCACAAAATGGAAAACAACACCACTTTTCTCACTTAAGCTCTTTTTTTTTCTTTTTGAGTCAGAGTCTCACTCTGTTGCCCAGGCTAGAGTGAATTTAAGGGTCTTTGCTGGGTGGATCTGGAGGGACCCAGATGCCACGGCCTCTCTCCTGGGGACAGCCCCTCAGAGCCCGCGTGCCAGCCAGGTCCTACCTGCACGGTTAGGGGCACTCTGCTCCCTGCCGCTCCTTACAGTTTCATTCCCGCGTCAGTGAGGACACGAGGGGCTGGACTGGAGGGCTTTGTTTTTCACATGGCAGGAATGAAGCTTGCAGGCAAACTGCCAGCCCTGCCCAGGTTTTCTGGCTGCCGACATAATTCCAGGGACCTGGATCCGGGGCTCAAGGTCTGGCGTGGATGCAGTGGCAGGAAGCTTCTGCTCTGGCTGCCAAGGTCTAGACCCAGCCCCTGTAGTCCCTAGTATAACACTGGCCTCGGACCTCTGGCCCTGCCCTGTGTGTTCCATTCCTCAGACAGTGCTGTGTCCAGA